TTCAGTCTAACTTGCCAGCATAGCTTTTGGTAGTGTGACTACAGTTTTCAACAATGAGACTCTCTTTATCTTTTCCTTCCCTTCCACCTCTCTAAATTAGTCCTGCTTTCTTGCAGGATATGCAAGATCTAATGTGATGCTGTGTAGGGTCCTGAGCCTTAATGAATTGGAAGCTCATTCTAAGAAGATAGAATTAAGGTTATTAAAAATGTTTGTTATCCTTAATACCTGCAGTAGCATAACAGTTGAACTAGGTGTGGAGAAGAAATCTATTCTCCTGGTGCAGCGGTGCTGAGCCGTATCATCCTCGTAATGGTCCGACAGACCTTCCGGCTTGCGTAGGGCAGCTACGTTGGAGCAGGATTGTGGGCCTGTCCTGCAGGTGCTGCGTTGATGTTACCTCCATTTCCATGGTCAGCATTGAGAATTCCATCTCATTAACCATTCTGTTAACGCTCATTGCCTAGATATTTAGCTTATAATAACCAGTTAATGATATTTGTTCCTGTTTCTTAGTCTGTGTTCTCATTCTACCATGACCATCTGATAGAAATAAGCCATTAACTGTGGTGCTTATTTATCCAGGTATCCAGATTATCTTCCATCTTCCAGCCATTTTCTTTCCTTTTCTAATTAGCTTGGAGTGTTGCCTTTGAAAGAAACCTGAGTTTTCTCTACTCATCTCCCAAGGAAGGATTTGGATTTGGGCCTGAATCCTCTTTTCATAGTAAAAGTGAGATGAGGCACTTGGATCTGTCATTACTTCTGGGAGCAGTTTTGCTTCATCAGTTGCTGCAGAGTGGTAGTGAAATATCCTGCATAGTTTGTCCTCTTCCCTTTCAGATTTCCTTCCAGAGAATCCAGGTTTTAGCATAAACTGTGAAAAGAATGTTTAAGTTAAAAATGGCTATCCAGAGTCAGGCCAGTACAGCGTGCAGTGTTTCTTCCCATACAACCTTCTCTGCTGTCTGTAGAGTGATCTTTGGTGCACCGTGGTTGCCCAGATCATGGAGGGCATAAAAGAAGAAAATCCATGTCTTGGATTTTTTTATACTGTTTTCTACCCTCTTTGACTTGAAAGGCCTTTATATATATATATATGTATGTGTGTGTGTATATATATATATATATATATATATATATATACACACACACACACATACATACACACACACACACATATATATAAACATATATATATAAACATATATATATAAACATATATATATATGTTCTACCAAATTTGAACAGCTAATAAGGCTGGCATAAGTTTAAATGGGTTGCCACTTGAGTAAAATTAGAGTTTACAGTGCTTAATAACCTGACCTAATTAATCTATTTATTAGCAATATACAAGTAGATTCTGATGTTTCCCCTCAAAACTTATTTCCAATATGTTGTAGCTTTTTGTTTTTTTCTGATTTATTAGAGGTTACAGCAATCTGCTACAGCTATCTGGTGTTGAGACACTTCTGTTACATACGAGTGGCAAGAATCTGTCTGATTGCAATCATGTGTCTAATTTGAAGCACACTGCTAGCTTTATTGCTTGCTCCTGATCATTTGAGGAGTTTTCTTAAATGCAAGTATTAGAAGTAATAGATGAAAAACATTGACCTTCAGTTGAGAAAATAATACCATTTTTAAAAACTTTTATGAATATTCACCATTTTGTATGGTTGGAGGACTCAAGTCTGCCCAAATTCATTTTTGCCATTTCTGTAATGTGATGTTTTAGCTCCTCTCAACTCTGACTGTGTTAAGTCCTCTGACTTCAATGTTTTGCATAACGCAAAAATATGAACTAGATATGAAAAATATGAGCAAGTTGTTTCTTTCACTTATTTATTTGCTTTTTCCCTTCCTCTTTTTCTCATTCTCCAATCCAGCTTAGTATGACAGATACTAAAGCACAATACTGCAGCTGTAGAATGCATTACTTTGAGATAACCGTGGAGCTGGATTACTGTAATTTTGAAGAGTCTAGCATTTAACTTGCAGTGTCTCCGCTGCTAATGAGCAAGGCACTGAAGGCTGCATTCAGTACGAGCTAAATCAGTGTCTTGTTTGTGAAACAACCTCTTCCTGTCTGCAAACAAAGAGCAGAGGAAATTTTGAAGATGCCTGAGCTAGGAACTTTTGCTAAAAAAGAGTATGGTTGTTCTTGATGTTAAGTACATTGTCTGCTGAATAAGTACAGTCATGAATTTACTCGCTTTGTTCTTGGACTTCGAGGATGCTGTCAGCTTTTCCTTTCAGAGGTTCAATAGGAACCTTTTGAAATGGCAAGAAAAAATCCAAGGTCACTGGTGCCAAAGCTGTCTCGCTGAAAGCAACGGAAACTAATGCAGAGTATGTAGTCTGTTTCCCTGTTATAGACCTGTGTTAACTTCTCAAGGAGCAAGGTCAGTAAATGTTATTCTAAACAGGAAAAATACAGAAAGCTCAAAAATATTGAGTAAAGTGTAACAGTGCAAATTCACAATTAAGTTGGGTACTAAATGATAATGAAACCTTATGATATCCTTCATCTGCTCACTGACTTCCATTTTTCAGCCTGCCCATAACCTGTATGTCTATTCTCAGTTCTTCAGCCCCCAAATTTCTTGAGGCTCCCATGGAGTAAAACCCACGTATTCCCTCGGCCCTTTCCCTTGCTCCCTCCGGCACCTCATAGCTTCCCCCATTGTGATATTTTTAATTTTATGCCATAGCCCTCCAAGATTTTCAGCAAACCCTCCAAATTGAGGGGAAGAAACAGCAATACTTTGAACATAGGTTTGTGCTCCTTGGAGCTGGCAGTTTTTTTCCAAAGGCCTTTTCCTCAAGGCCTTTTACAGATTTTCCTTGCTGCTTCTCCGGCTGTTGGCTTTATGGATCTGCCGGCCGCAGAGGTGCGGTCCGGCCCTTTGGTGGCAGGGAGCCATTAGATTAGTTCCAGGGCCGCCGGGACGGCAACCTCCTAGAAATTATTTTCTTCAGGATGTGGAGGAGCAAAAAAATAGCCAACTGCTGCAAAAAGGCTTTGCACATTACAGCATTATCTTGCAGCAGCTCAGTTCCTCCACTAAACAGAGTTAGCTGAGCTCAGCCTAGGGTGCGTTTGTGAGCTCGTTTCAATCCTCTCAAGGTTCCTATAGTATTTATAATGCACCGGTTAAGAAACATGGGCTTATAAATTACTTGAGGCGTAATAGATCTAGTCGAACTTCCAAGAATTAAAAGTTGTTAAATGTTAAAGCTATAAATGTGCTTAGTACTCCACTTTTTTTTAGGATTTAAAGCTTTTTTTTATTTCTCCCTTAGGTTATGTAGATTTTTATTGGCTATTATTTACTGTCTTATCCATTAAAAAAAACTTATTTAAATGTATGTGCATCACCATGCTCTCGAGACTGGGTTCAGACGAATGTGACCTGCTAAAAGGATGCATTTTTTTCTTGTTTCCGGATTTTGATTTTCCGGATGTCAATGCGGACAGTTTTATGGCATTCCTGTTCCAAACCTTCCTGCTTTTTAAAAATTTAACTCTGTAATGCTGCTCTCTTATAGATTAACACTGTGCTAAAACTCGCTCTAGAGGCAAGAGAAGATGGGGAGAAAGGGAATTTTGAAAGATAAAAGAAACCCTAAATATTAATAGTAATTTCAGAAAGGTTTTCATAAAGAAGTATTCATTTTCTATAAATTCATTAAACTTTATAAAGCATATTTCCTGACAAAACGTGTTTTGCAAACAACCTCTGTGTGTGTGTATATGCATACATATATGTACACACATGCAGCATGTTATAAATACTGTTTGCTTTGAATTGGTGAAGTGTTTCTCATTGGTTGCAGTGGGTTATCAGATCTTGTAGTTTTGTGCATATGTATTAAAAGGATGGGTTTAAAAACTAAAGTCATTCTAAATTGTGTTTTGAATTTGAGTATTTCCCCTGATAATTTAATTCCTCTGTCTGTCTCTTTATATTTGAGAATAGCAATTTCCAAGAGAAGGGCTTTTTATCCGCTCACGATTCCAGCTACAGCTTTTTCAGTTAAGGGTGTGGTGGGTTTTTTTTTTGCTGACACAGTTGTGCTAGACAAGGCTCTTGCATAAAAACAGTTATCATGGAAAAATGTCTTTTGCCATTAGCGCTTATCTCACTTGGAAACTGTAGTGAGCTGCACCAGAAGAGAACTGTTGCTGAACTGAAGCTCTGAGGATGGGAGCAGAGCCTTATTTTTTCCTGTCATGTCAGGGCAGCCTGTTGTGGTTTTCTGTGTCTTTCCTGGTGTATTGGAGCCATCAACTGTTTTCCCGGTGCATATTCAGTTTACAAATCCAGATTATTTGCTATCTGATTTTCTATTATTGAAATTAATGGGGTTTTTTTGAGTGGAGATTATAATGTGGTGTCTAGACAGTAGGGATAAATACAGGGATTCTTGGGGATGAAAGAAGGAAATTGTATGTGAGCAATGTGAGCTAAATTTTCAGACTTTGAAACCTGTAGTTGTTTTATTACAATACGAGAAATTGTGCATTAGAATGAAGCAAAAATACAAATCTGTTTGTGAAAAGGACATTTCATTTTTTTGATTTTGAGTATCCCTCCAGAAGTTTGCTGTAGTGTGAGCTTGTTTGGGTGATTCTTATTACTGCACTTAGCACTCTACAGCTACATGGGAATTCTGTAACTGTGTGTACACCTTGAAGACCTCCAAGAGGTTTAAATAAATACTTCTATAGCAGATTTGGGTAGCATGTATGTAGTATATATTTGCATATATTTGTTTTTGCTTATATACTTATCTATATTTCAAACTTGTGTTTTAAAATACAAGTTTTTCCTATTCCTCCTATAAAAAAGAAAGAAGGAAAAGAAAGAAAAGAAAACGCTCTACAGAAATACATTTTTTTCGGTGTTTGGGTGTCACTCTTTTGAAATAAGAAACAGAAATTAAGTTCTTAAATCTAATTTTGTCTTCGTTTTTTTCCCCTCTCAACTCCACAGGATCCTTAAAGCTGTGCTATGAACGGTGATTCTGGTGCAGCGGTGGTGACTTCACCACCTCCAACAGCCCCTCATAAGGAGAGATACTTTGATCGAGTTGATGAAAATAACCCAGATTATTTGAGAGAGAGGAACATGGCACCTGACCTTCGCCAGGATTTTAACATGATGGAACAGAAGAAGAGAGTCTCCATGATTCTTCAGAGCCCGGTGAGAAGAAACAGCTGCCTCTTTACACTGTTAAATATTCTCATTCTCTCTCTCTCTCTCTCTCTCTCTGTCTCTCTGTCTCTCTCTCTGTCTCCCCCTCCACCCCCCACCCTTCTCCTCTCTTTTTTTTTTTTTTTTTTTTAAAGAATATTTCTATAAAACTGAAGAATTATATTTCATTTTAAACCCATTTGATTTGCCTAGTTGCCCTTTCTGTTCAGGTAGTCATTTGTAGCATGATTTTCTCATGTTGCCTGGTTAAATTTTTGTCGTCTCCTCAATCACGTTTTCCTGAATTCTCTGTTTAAGCAGGAACTTTAATAAACTGTGAGCGATTGCAGTTTGATATTAAAGAAGTTTCCCTGAGGGAGGAAAGAAGCAAAACAAACTGTTCTCATAACATTTGTTCCTTTTGCATAACTGGTGGGTGGCGTGAGCTATAAAACATTTTGTGGCATACCTGCTTTGTGAATAGAGAGGTAGTGGAATAGTTACTGTTTTTCAGGTAGTAACCCATTTTATTTTCATTTACTTAATGACTGATAATATTTTTCTTCCAGAATTGTAGTGTTCTTGTCAAAAAAGCAGCTAGTAGTAATAGTAAATTTTTTTTTTTTTTTTTTTAAAAAAGGTAAACGAATTTCTAACTTAAGCATAGTATTATATACTGTGGCTGTTTGGCTGTTCCTTTGTTCCTAGCTGTTCTTTTAGTTCTCGTTTCCCTGCTGATAACTGTCCCAAATTGATCATTTTCCTTCTCTTTTTCTGGTTCTGCTACTTTTACCTTCAGATTTCATACTCGTTCAAATTGCTTGTACTTCCTGCTTCCCCAAATCCCTATTAATAGGCTCTGTGAGTTTTGGTATTACTTGCTGGAACTTTTCTTTAAAGAAGAGAGAAGTGGGGGGGAAAAAGCAGTATGCACCCATGAATCAGGCCTGAACTGTTTTGTAGAAGCGATGTAAGGTGTTTCCATCAAAATGCTTATAAGTTATGTTAAATTCCTTTGACTTGTGCTTAACAATATTGAAACTCCTGTTTCTAGGCTTTTTGTGAAGAACTGGAATCTATGATCCAAGAACAATTTAAGAAAGGGAAGAACCCAACAGGTTTATTGGCCTTACAGCAGATTGCAGATTTCATGACAACAAACGTACCAAATGTCTACCCAGCAGCACCGCAAGGAGGAATGGCTGCCTTAAACATGAGTGAGTGCATCTTAACACAGAACTAGCAGACTGGGGTTTTATTTCCTGTCCTGCTCGCTTGGAAGACTGTAAACATAAAATGAGTTGATTTAGTTGCTAAATGTCAGTGATAAGAAAGGCAATTTGTGTGCATAATTTATATCAACAGTTGTTTAATCTTAAAAATAAGTCTGATAAGTGAGCAATAGTTGAAAATCTAAACATCTAAATACTGCTAAAGATTATTGAATGGCTTGTCTGCTGGAAAATAAAATACTCCTTAATAACCTAGTGACAGTAAAGGCCTTTAGCAACTAGTTATTTTTGCCTTTGTTGTACTCTTTAACTTCACTTCATAGAAGAAAGGCACACAGAAAAGAAACATCAGGAAGCAAAGCAGAAAAGAGAAATGCATACACGTGCACACAGAGGTGTTGGTGTGCTTCAGAGAGCATAAATCCCTGTCTGTGCTCCAAAATGCAGCTGTAATTAGACCGTAATGTGGTGTAGTTCTGCTCTACCACAATTTCTCCAAACCATGTTTCTAGTTGCACTTAGTTAGATACACGATATTTCTAATTCTTTACCATAATCCTCCTTTCTGTAGACTCCTTTTTTCCTAATTGAAGGCCTATGAATTTGTGATTCTGTCCTACTAGATATATAATCTTGCTTTTCAGGAATACAGTATTACTTATGAAATACTTAGGTTTCCATTATTTAATGTCAGTCAGTAGCTTTAAGGCCAAAATCACAAGTTTGAGAGGGGAATAAAAATATTTTAATAAGGAACTCCCTATTACCTTGGCATTAATGAATAATAAGGAAGGAAAACAGTTCTGATTATATTCACAAATTATCAGTTATCACAGATACGTTTCTGCAATATAGATTATAACATTATGGTAAGTAAAATTTGCTGTCCATTTCTTAGGTTAGTAGCTTAATAGTAGCATGTAACCTACAGTACTGGCACGTGTTGTTAAGTTTTAACTGATGCTGAGTACATAATGTGCCTTTTCCCCCCCCCCCCCCCCCCCCCCCCCACAAAAAAAAAAAAAAAAAAAAAAAAAGGCGGCACGACAAGCGCAGAAAGACTACCCCCCCCCCCCCCCTCTTCACCTCTATCCTTTTCAGGTCTTGGCATGGTGACACCAGTGAATGATCTGAGAGGATCAGATTCAATTGCTTATGAAAAAGGGGAGAAGTTGTTACGATGTAAACTGGCAGCTTTCTACAGATTAGCAGATCTCTTTGGCTGGTCTCAGCTTATTTACAATCATATAACAGTGAGTACTGTCTTAACAACAAAGAACTGAACCAATTGTTTTAACGTCCAAGTGAATCACCCCCTTCCCCCATCTGTCAGTTCCTCATTGTGTGGAAGAAGAGCGAGAGCATTGAAAGCAGGTTAATAGTGAAGAGATTTGTCATTGCATCTCAAGCGTAAGAGCTGCACAGCTTGGATGGCAGCCACTGCTGTCTGAATAGAGTCTTAAGAACATACATAAAGTTCCTGAGATGAAATTAAGGTTACAGAAAGACTCAGTCTTCTAATATCTTAAATGGTGTCTCTATTATGTAAGGTAATATCTTAGTTTGCTTTCAAAGCACTAAAATACCTTCTTATTGGCCATTCATTTGAAATTTATTGAAACTTCTCTACCAGTCTTTTTTAAGAGGAAGCCATAGTACATCTGAACACGAGTGTGCTGCTTAGCACAGCGTGCCAGCTATTTTCCTTGTGGCTGAGTAATCATTGGCATGCATAATAATAATGACAAGGAGGTCAAATCAAGGAGGTTTTATATGCCAGAAGAGTGATCTACATGAGTCTCATGAGTAAAGTCACAGCTGTGGTGTAAAACCCAGTCTATTGTTTTCCCAACAGAGCTGAATTGTCTTTTTTTCCTGTATAGTGGTGTTGCCTAGAGTAGTAGTTACAGCAATGCCATGTGATGAGGATGGGATTTATCAAATTGGCTTTCTTTTAGGGGTGATGGGGGAAAGCCCAGGAAGATTAAATATTAATGTTGAGGTGGATGACACAGTCAAAGCACTTAGAGTATGAGATTTGGACTATATTTTAGATAGCTTTTGAAGGGCAAGTAGTACTGGAAGGTTTGTGGTTAATAAATTGTTACCAGGTAGTCACAAGCCATAGTTCAGCCCCTTTCCAGGGGTGATTATAGCTCCAAAAAACAGTTTTATCTTCATGTTCTGTATGCCCACATATATTATGTAGCATTGTGGTTGGATACGCTTTTGGACTTGGCAAATGTATGTGACTTTGTGCAGAACTGGGTTTTGGCTCCAGGTTTTCACTGCTGGGTGCTCCAGTTGCTGGGATGTTGTGCTCTGAATCCAGTGACACAGCTTGAACCTCGTCACCTCTTTTGGTAGTTGATACTCAGAGCTGGAGGGGTTTGTTGGAGCTGGAGCCCTGCATAAGAGAGGCTGTGCTGGTTATACAACCAATAGGCATGTGCAGTTCCCATGCAGTGCATTTTATATTGGAGAGTCACATCAAAAGAGTTGGAGGTGGCATCAAATATGGCCTGAGACAGGCCCACATCTCACCCCCTGAGTTGAAAGAGTTCTTTGTTTCCTCTAGTGACCTCTTTGAAAGACTCTAGAAAAAGCAGTTGTTAACAATAAGATACTGTTCATTATCCATTACAGAAATGGGCTTTAGAGCAGACCACTCAGCTGATAGTTTTAAGAACAGGAGTGCTATGGAAACCTTATATGTATTTGAGTATTCAGAAAATGTTAACTTAAACATATGTTTTTAGAAGTGATGAAAAAGACTTTAAGAACATGCAGAAGTTATACTACTAAAAAAAAAAAGGCATTTTGTCCTGTCTTTTATTTCTTTTATTATGTAAATGTGCTCATCTCCCACAACAGCTAAATTGTACTGTTACAAGCAAAAACTGTCATAATACAGTGAACTGTTAATTTTGAAATGGCTAGAACTGAAAATGAGGGAGACCATCTGTCTGCAGGCTGAAGCCTAAGAAGTTGAAATGTATTTGCTGCAGGAGACCAACAGTAGTTTTGTTTTCAATAAAGAAGGCTGTGCGTGATAATTTGGGATCAGATCTCCTCTTTAAAACTTTTACCCTTTGCTGTATATTACTTATATAAGGCTGTAGTAACTACTGTTTCCTTAAATAAAGTTGCCAAACAATGAAGACTTCTTATCAATTAGGTGTTTTAAGCAAATTATATATTGATGTCAAAGGAGGATATAACATGTATACCAAACAGGAAAAAATTTCCTAGTACTGTTCAGAGATTGACAAACAAATGTTGTCCCTATTACATTTTAGATTGCTAATCAATTATTTATTGTAGATTTTCCACATGTAAGGTATTTGAAATGTTTCAAATCTCCATTCAGAGCTGCCTAAATGATGTAGCCTCCCATACTTGCCACTGTACAAACTTGAACCAAATATATCTGAAGCTGTGAATGGTTTGAAGTCAGAGTTATTTGTGTAATATAAACTGCAGGTGTGAACTAAACTATAGAGAAAAATCTTAAGTGAGGAGATACCAAGCATGATTTCAACACTGGAGATGGAACCCTACTCAGCATTAGTATCTCTTAAGTCTGTTGGCTGAATTCTTAAATTTTCACCACCTTTTTTATGTCATGTCCGTATTTTATGAAGATATAAATACTACTGGAGTATAAATTTGTTTTTCTGAAATGCAGTAACTTTTTCATATATCAGAATTATTTCCTTTATCCATAGTAATCTAGTCGTCATCAGCACAGGATGTAAAGATTAGCCTTGTCCCCAGACCTGAAGGACTTTAGTTTGCACCTACCATCTGGTTCTATTTGACATGGGTTAATTATTATCAATTATGAGCTGTATGTTGATTATCTGTTACAGTGTACATAGAAGTCACGTTGAATATACTATAGGAATACCTGCTCATTCCATACTTGGGACTTGAGAATAAATTTTATGTCACCATGTGGTTTGGTTTTGGAGCCTTGTATGCTTTAATAGAATATTTTTAACTTATCTTTTATTCTCATATTATCCTTAGGCCAGAGTAAATTCTGAGCAGGAACACTTCCTCATTGTACCCTTTGGACTCCTCTATAGTGAGGTTACTGCATCCAGTCTGGTAAGCACTTATTTTCCATAGCTGTAAAAAATGAGTAGCTGGATCTTCTCTGTCTAAATTGGTTGTTTAAATTCTATCCTAAAGAATATTTTCTGCTTTTTACATGTGTAGGATAGTTTTATTGAATACGATAAATTATTTTCAGGGGTGTTGTCTTTTTTTGGTTTTGCTTTTTAAGACATCATTTTGGGTGCATCATTCAGTAGCTGTGGTTTATTGATGTAAATACTTGAGGATGTAGGTAAATTTCTTTAGCATGTAAAGTTAGTGGGAGAGGACATAGGAAGAATTTTGTGACCCCTTAACTTCAGAGCAGCTTGTTAATGCTGCTGCTGCAGGTAGCTTGAATTCATGTTGACCCTTTCTGCACTGAGACAAATAAGGAACTTGCACTCTCTCCCTTCCACCTCTTACTATAATGCAAGTAGCCTTTAGCAGAGAATTATATGCCGAGTAGCAGCATCTCTCACTTCAGTGCTTTTTGCAAGACTCTGCTCCCTTAAAGGTCCAAATACTCCTCTTCTGCTGCATGTAAAATTTGGCTTTTTCTTAATGAAGTCCACCCTAACCATCTTTCCTTTTGTTGTAATCTTTACATTAAATTTAATGAAAAGAACTAAGAGCTCCTGTGTTCCTTTAGGAATTTTTGAGGAGATTAAGTGCTGTGTGGGAGCAGTGTTTGTTGTTACAAACGAAACTCCAAGGGGAAGGGTGTGGGTGGGCTTTTTTTGTTTTGTTTTGTTTTTGTTTTTTTTTTTCTCCTGCTTTTGACTTTTTATCAGCTCTGTAAACCCTTCCAGATGTTAGGCAGATCTGTAAGGGCTATCAGCTATGTGATTGCATAGTCAGGACTGTGAGATTATTGATAGTTTAGTGGTATTATTTTAACAAGGATTGAGAGTGTGAGATTGAGAGCTGCACAGTAGAGTGAGCAAACAGCCTGTCTATATGGCTGGCAAATGATTTTTTTTTAAACAGAGAATAGTATAACTTTTTTTATGGAGCACCACAAATTCAGTTGCTAAAATAGTATTTCAGTTGTGTGGTGTGGGGTTTGTTAGTGTATGGCAAGGTGCAAGGTTAAAGGCAGCTGAATCCAGTGTGCCGAAGGGCCCAGCTGCTACTTTCCTTCTCAGTCCCTAGGTGCAGGGCTTCTGATTTTTCCTTCTTAAGTCCAACCAGCAGCCCTGCCAAGAGTGAATCCCAGTCAACAGGGGCATGTGGAGACACAGTGGCCATTAACAGGTAGCACAGACAGGAACCCAGGGCAGCCCCATAAATGCAGACAGCACTTGCATAAACGTGGACAGCACGAACAGCCTGGTCCTGTTTCTGCTCTCCTGCTAATTCGGTTCTAAGACTCGATGGTGGAACGTACACAAAGCCCCGTTTATTTAACTTGGGCATCCTCGCAGGCATCTTCAACGTTGGCCCCATCATTTAAGTCTGTCCAGCCAACTTTTATCCAGGCCCTATCTCAGACCTTGGGTCTTTCCAGATCTGGCCTTTCAAAGCTAAGCAACTAGTCTGACATGAAGCTTGCTAGAAAATACACGTGTACCAGCAGAATGGAGAGTACGCTTGTGCAGCCAGCCTAGCAGGAGGGTTTCATAGGAACACAGAGTACAGTAACAAGGAACAGATCTTAGCTGAATAAGCATCCTGAGCAGCAGCATGCTTGCACCACTGGTGTAAACACCTTTTGATTCCCCTCCTTCTTCCTATTCTTCCTATGCTTGTTTTTTTCCCCTGTTTTTTCAGTCTTGATCCCATTTTTTTTTCTGTGAAAGATCTATGAAATCCAGCCATTATCATACATGTTTTCACACTTGTTAAGTAGAAAAAAAGTATGGTTTTAGAGCTTTGGTAGATGTTGAATTAAACTAGATTTCTGGCAGTTTGAATCAATTATGAAACTCTTTCTTTTCATTGCCAGGTTAAAATCAATATTCAAGGAGATGTGGTTGATCGTGGGAGCACTAATTTGGGAGTAAACCAAGCTGGCTTTACTTTGCACTCTGCAATTTATGCGGCCCGACCTGACGTTAAGTGCATTGTGCACATCCACACCCCGGCAGGGGCAGCGGTAAGCACGCTTTCTATTTCCCAGCCACAACTGACAAATAAGCGGTCCTCCATAATCCCTGGATTGCTTCCCTTTCGGAAGACAGGTATTTCAAATCTACTTCATCATTACCACAAAAGATACCGTCTTTTGACAGTAAGTCAGAAGGGCATTGCTAGTTTGTCTAGTGGAGTAGTGTGGCACAGCTTGGCAAGTTTCTCTTAAATATTTGAAAACTTGCTGTGGCCTGCGTATAAAAGGCAGTGGCAGCACTGCCAGAATCAACCCAGACAGGCTGTAATACTCATCTGAAAAATGCAGTGGATGAACACTTGTTTGGTTTTAATAGATACCTGGGTTTATGCATCTCATAAGAACAGCTGGGTACAGATTAGCTTGTAGCCCTTTGGAATTTTTTCCGGAACCATTTTGTGACCAAGTTTCTTGTGTGCCTCAGAGGCTGCTTCTGTTTGTTGAGGGGGTTTGTTTTTTTCTTTGAAGGAGCAGGAAGGAAATGATGTTTGTTTGTTTGTTTGTTTCTTTTAACCTGAATCACAGCATCAATGCAACCATTTCAAAGATAATGACATGATTCCTAAAATTATGATGTCTGGAAGTTTACATCTGTAATTATTTATCTATTTATTTTTTTACCTGTGCTGCTGTGGAATTACCTGTGTAAGAGTTGGTCCCTCAGTTCCTTTTATTTAAAAAAAAAAAAAAAAAAAAAAAGAACAAGTGTGAAAGGGATGAGGGATCTAGTTCATTTTGACAGAGGCTTTTCATGTCTGTGTTGACGGCACGTCAGAGCAGCCATGTTAAGTCAGACCCAAGATCGATTTAACTTTTGTATCCTATCCAAAAGCTGTGAATAGTGTAAGAACAATGAATCGTATAGCAGTTGTTTTCCAGGATGTGCCTTTATTATTGCTTTGGATTTGTTGCTTTTGGGGAAAAGAAAAGAAAAAGAAAAAAGTTATTTTAATATTTTATTTCTCAGGTGTCTGCAATGAAGTGTGGTCTGTTGCCAATCTCACCTGAAGCACTTTCGCTAGGAGAAGTAGCTTATCATGACTACCATGGTATCTTAGTGGATGATGAAGAAAAAGTGCTCATTCAGAAAAATCTGGGACCGAAAAGCAAGGTCAGTAGTTGCACTGTGTGTAGGTAGAGTGGGGAGAGTGTTCTTTAATCAGTAGCAAGATGGGATGGGTACCTATATAAGTCATTGTAAATACTTGCATTATTGCACTTAATTTTTTTGCAATGTCTCTCTAGGTCCTGATTCTCCGAAACCACGGCTTAGTATCAGTTGGAGAGACTGTCGAAGAAGCATTCTACTATATTCATAATCTAGTGCTTGCCTGTGAGATTCAAGTAAGAGTTTTAGTATGTTGCACAATAATGTGGAACTTGCAGTAACTTTTCAAACAGCTGAATAGTTGTGCACTTTAGTGGTTGAACTTGTCATCTAAACTAACTCAGTGATTTGTGCAATCGCTGTACTTCCAAAATATCAGTTTAACCAGCAGGTTCAACCAGGTGAGCTGGAGCTATTGATTTGATATAACCTGCCTCAGAATAGACATACTGTCGAAGAAATAAAGCAGTTTTTGTATTAGTGATTGACTTAATTAACGTTAAAATTTGGTAAATTCTTCTAATTTGTTGGCGTTTCTTACCAAAAAAACTAAAAGCTAATTCAATTGTTTTTAAGGTACGTACCCTGGCCAGCGCAGGTGGACCTGACAATTTAGTACTTTTAGATCCTGGAAAGTATAAAGCCAAGTCTCGTTCCCCCGAGTCTCCAGCAGGTGAGGGGACTGTGTCCCATCCAAAATGGCAGATTGGCGAACAGGAGTTTGAAGCTCTTATGCGAATGCTTGATAATCTGGTAAGACAGGCGTTGGTGTCTAACTGTTTTACATGATAATGCATGAAGTATTTTAAAAGCCAGGAAAAGGGGCATGAGTGAAAAATGGGCTGCAGGTAGTTGGATTAGTGTGTGCAACCTGTAGTGAGCTTCTTCCCAGATCTCAGGGAAGGAAGAAGAGGAGGTAACATGAAAAGAATGTTGCAGGTGTCCTTTGTGAAGATGGTTGATTTTCTTCAATATTCATAATCTGGTAGCTGTCGTGACATCAGAAGGGGTCTGTATTTCATGTGAATTAGCACTTGCAAATGAGAATTACTGTGGTGTTTGAGGGTTTTTTCCCACTCTGTTCCCATTTCCCTCTCCCCCTAAATGTGTAAAGGTGAGGACTATTGTGATTTGATTTCCAATAAGTTTATTATAAATAAAATTTGAGAGTGATAAAATTTGTTAAACTTGAGTTATCTTCAGATAAAACTGTTTCAGTAAAACCTCATGTATAATCACTCACCAACTATTGACATTTGCTGCCTGAGAAAGATGATACCTCTGCTGTCAGAATACCCCAAGGGTGGCTGGAGGCAGCAGTACTGAACAGCTCATGTAACGTATGAGCATGGTTATAATTAAACTCAGCATCTAATTTGTGATTTAATGCATCTTATTCCTTGGCATGGGGTAAAATGGGGGCTTTGTGGTGATGTGATGCATATGTCCCTAATAACGATACCTAGAACACTTACTACCACATCTCTAGTATACTAAATAGTTTTTTTTTCCACCTTAGATCAGATAACACCTCAGCAGTGTTTAATGCATAGACCATTTGCAAAGAAAACTAAGGCCACATACTCTTGGCTAAAGTTTCTTTACAACTGTTTGGTTTTTTTATAAGTGCATTGGGAAATAGGCTATTCACACTGTTTGTCTTTGAGCCAAATTGCAAATCTTTTGTATTTGGGAAAGTCTTAGAGAAAGTGTTAACTGTGCTTTCTGTGCTTTTGTATGTAAAATGCTGAAAAAAAAACAAAAGAATGCAAAATAAAAGGGAAATGTGACAGTGTTAGACTAAAAGGAAAAGAAAAGGAAACAAAGGAAACAAAAAGAAGTAGAAAAGGAAAAACAACATAGGAAAAGATTAAGTAGAGCAGAGAATGTGGATATAAAAATAGTGTATCTGTTGAGAAAACAAGACTTTTGCTTGTATAGAATATGTTAGATTTGTGACTGTTGGAAAACGGATCTTTTTACCTACCCTGCATTTTGTATGGCACGGCTCTTGTGTTTTTTGTATTTCTTTATTTTAAAATTGTGGGGAATGACAAATAGTACATTTGAGTACAGTAAAAGATATAAATGAGAAACTGGAACATGGTGCTAAGGAAAGTCCAGGGTTATGCAATTGGACTTAAATTGAGTTCCTAAGACTCGAACAATTGCATGAGAATTCAATAAGAAATATCAGGAATCACCAATAATTATATTACCATTTTTTTCCTCTGTGCTTTAGGTCCCCTACAAATTCCAGCTTAGCCTCTCTTATTGCAGTTTAATGATATGCTGTTGTCCATGGAAAGAACTGTCAGGAAGTGTGATAGCTAATGGTTAAACTGCCAGTCTCTGCTTCCCTCTTTGACAGTTCTTTCTAATTTAAGAGTTTCCAAAAAAAAATCACATTCTGAAGATTTTTACAGTGCATAAAATTATGATTATGCCTTTCGTGTCAGCATGCCAGAGCACAATTAGATTTGTCATTAGCTTGCTGTAACACAGTGGATTGGTGAATGCATGTCGGCAAGTATCACTCTCCTTACTGGTGGAATTAAACCTATTTGAGTAGGTCCTTTCATCCTGTAGGAAATCCTAATTTTCATGCAGGAGTCCTCCGCTTTGAGATGCAAGCACTGAGAGGAGAGTGCCTTGACAAGCTGCTAGGCATACTGTATTGTTTGTAGGATGGGCCCCAGAAGATTGTGTATTTCTAGGCAGGGGGGAATCGTGTCCCTTGACAGCAACCCACATGCTGCCCTTCATTTCAGCTTAAAGGTTTCTTTGCAGAACCAGTGTAAATTTGCCACAGAGTTCGTGTCAAAGTTTTGCAATTTGATCTTCCAAAAAGTGGTGACATTTTTTTTAGATTAAATAGGATGCCTATCTAATTAGATAGTCTCCCTAATGTGTCATCCAGCTCTATGTCTTTATTTACTACAACTGGTGAAGAGCAGACAAAGAGAAGAGCATACGATAGCACTGTTTGTATGATTAGGAGTATTAATCAAAAATTCAGTCATCTTTTGAAAAACTTGGAGCTGTCAAGCTAATTCTCTGCTCTGCTCCTGCAGGGTTACAGAACCGGCTATCCTTACCGATGCCCCGCTCTGAGAGAGAAAACTAAAAAGTTCAGCGATGTCGAGATCCCAGCCAGTGTCACAGGTTACTCCTTCACTAGTGACGGTGAATCAGGCACTTGCTCCCCTCTCAGGCACAGTTTTCAGAAACAGCAGCGGGAGAAGACAAGGTGGCTGAACTCTGGCCGAGGGGACGATGCTTCTGAAGAAGGGCAGAATGGTGGCAGCCCCAAGTCGAAGACTAAGGTGTGGACGAACATTACACACGATCACGTGAAACCCTTGCTGCAGTCTCTCTCGTCCGGTGTCTGCGTGCCAAGCTGTATTACCAACTGCTTGGTCTGTGCCTACCTTACTGTTCATAGTTAGATGATGTAGAGCAACTTGGGGTGGCTGGCACTTAGAGGCTTTGGGAAGAGAAAGATAACACCCCTAATTCCTTTCTGCTCTCTTATATCAAACCCTAAATGTGTCTTTCTAACCGCTTAATTTGGCCTCCTTTAGATACAAGTTACAAAAATCTTATCAGTTGTTAATGCTTAAAACTGCTTAAGACTGGAGCAATTCTGGTTTTCTTTTCTTTTCAAGCTAACGACCAATCAGATTGAATCACGGTTTTGGTTGGGTAGGTTTTGCCTTTAAATAAATAAAAGGGCAACTTTTTTAGGGAGTTACTAATTTTGTCTGCATGAAAGCTTTTCAAATTAAACAAAAATAGAAACTAATATACTTCGTATAAAAGTGTGTGTGTATATATATGTATATATATATGCATGCATATATATGTGTATATATTTTTATATATACATATATAAATGAAAATCTACCTTCTGTTGCCTGTGCCAACTTTGTTTTCAAGCCAGTAGATTTCCGTAAGTGTGTGAGGGCAGAATTTATTTGCAAGTATTTTGGTGTTTTATCCCTTAAGCAGTTTTTCTCGTCTAGCTTCTCAGCTCCTCCTCCTGCCCTCTTACTTCGCTTCCGTCTACCCCAAAGCCTCTGAGTGTCCACAACCAGCTGCCTTCTGCATGGAGTGTTGCATGGAAGTAGATGGCCATAAGTGGAAAGTCTTTCCTCCAGTATAAGCTGGGTGCGGCATGACTAAAGTGCAGCTCAGGCCATCAGCAGGCACTAATCGATAGATTCTGCCACCGGTGCTTTTTTGTTTATCGATGCTGCTTGCAGTTAAATTTTGCACTGAAAAGAGATGTTAAGTGAGAAGCAAAAGCCTCAAATGCTTTCAGAAGAACCTTGGGAGCTGGTGGTGCGTAACTGTGGTCTCGATAACTTCTTGGGAATATGCAAAGCATCTGAGACGTGGACAGGAGCTTGCACGTGTGACAAGCTTCTGTAACAGCTGACCTGAAGCTAGGCAAAATGTAGTTCAGCACGACTTCAGTAGTGACACTGGGTGCAGTAGTATGGCAACAGATTAGTCTTAAAAGGTAGAGCTTAAAATTTAAAAAATTTTTTTCTTCCCCTACACCTACTTTATTTTTATTTGCCCTTGCAATAGTCTGATCCCTTCTGAATATACTCGTTCCCTGTATTTCACATTTTTTCTTATATGGATTAATTGCTCAGGCAATTTATGTACTGAGATAGAGATGCACTATGCAGTGCATCATGTAGTCAGCCCCCAAAAGAAACAGAAAATCTCTTTTTTTTAAGGTTTATTTGTTTTGTTTTGTTCCTTTTGGATGAACAAAAGAAATGAGCATATATTTATATGTAGTTCGTACCATCAACCTTTCACTAACCAGCTTCAGCTTTGCTTTGATTGGAAGAAAGCTGACAATTGCAGATACATTTGGGGCAGTTCTCTTGCTTCTTAACCTTAATTCACAAAGTAGCTGGTATTTATTTTACACTTGAAATTAGCAGTGAAGAAATGAAAGAAATTCTTACTCAGGAACTAATCTTGTTTACTGTTATGCTGAAGCAATAGAAAACTTCATACAGTGTTAACAGGTTTGTGTATTTAACTTTTTAATGCTTGTTTTTAACCTTAAGAGAAACTAGTTTGTTATACTGAGGTTGTTTTTATATTTGTTTTGACTAAAAATTATCTTTAATAAAAAGCTGGAGTAGTTTTTGTCTAAGAAGATAATCATCAGTGAGTATTTCACAGCTCCATGTTCATTCCATTTTTTACTTTACAGTTGCAAAACATTTTAAAATTATGTTGCTTTTTGAAGTTTGACAATTTCTGGCTATCTTATTGTTTCTTGAAATTACTCAGGAAAAACTGCATAGCATTTGCTCTATAAAACAGGCTTGCTTTATTGTTCAGTGCATTTTCTATGCAACAGAAATGGGAAAGTATGCCAGCACATATAATAGACATACAAGATAAAAACTGAGTTATGTGGCAAATGAAACAGGACTCATACTAAATGCACTGACCAAATAAAACAACCTTCTGTGGAGAACTCATGAAGCGCTTCAAGTTTGTGTTTGGGATACTTTTGTAACCTTTTCAGCTATAAGTTATAAAATACTCGACATCACCAAACTGTTCCTTTAGGTTGCTGTGCTGCTACAGCTCTTTATTTGTGCAAGAAACTAATTCTGGAACCACTACCTTTTGCTGAAATAGCTTCTTTTAATGCAATACTTTGGTGATGCCCACTCTTGCCTCGCAGTACTGAGTCACGCCTTGAGCCGAGTCAGTGGCATCACATTGCTTTCCATACTCCTGTCATCTTATGCTTTAAGTTTGCTTTGATGTTTGTTGAGTACCGGAGGATTGAATCAATGATCTCTCTTGTGGTAGTCTGCACATGTACAAAATGCAGCAGATGAAAAGTGGCAGTAATGGGGTTTTAGAACTCTCTCCTTAGATTTTGTCATACTTCCCTTTGTGTCAGGTATAGTATTTCTTTTAAATGAATTTGAACTCGTTTTGAAACCAGTCCGCTTTAATTTATCCATTCCTGATTAAATATCCTTAAAAAATACTCATGTACTTTTTCGGTAATTATATGGGAGTTTTCTTGTCCCTAAGTTAATGCAAGCTTTCTTCATCAAGCGATAAATATTGATTTTCAGAAACCTGACATGCTGCTGTGGTCAAGCACACAGCTTGAAAACAGTTTAATGGCTTAAATCCTGCAGTATTCATAATCTCTGAATTGCATATAGCTGTGATCACTATAGTTTTAGGCAGAAGTTATTTGTGAGTCGACTGTCTCTTTAGATACTTAAAGGTTTTTTTGCTGTTAGCTTGGCTTAATTGAGTGATTCTCTTGTTTACAAATGTATTTGAAGTTAGTTTATTTCTAAAGCAGGAAGCAACTTCATCTTAAAAAAAATAACAGAATATAATCATTGGTTCAGTTCTCTGTTATGTATAATGCATGATCTACTGTTATGTGAATTTGCTGCTGAGTGTCCTTAGCCATTACAGCAACTCTGACTTTCCAACTATTTTTGATGTTACAGTGGACTAAAGAGGATGGACATAGAACTGCCACCTCTGCTGTCCCTAACCTATTTGTTCCGTTGAACACAAATCCAAAGGAGGTCCAAGAAATGAGGAACAAGGTTTGTAACAGCAGTAAAGTATTTTTTTAATCCATCTTTGCTTTAAATTGCTTATTTGTCATGAACTAATTTATTTTGCTATAATGCAGTCTAGGAGTTCAAAAACTCAACTCCCCACTTGTTCTTATCCTTTTTAAGTAGACACAGAGGAAATCCTTAGCTTGGGGGGAAAAAAAACAAAGCACTATAACCATCCACCATATTAAGACGTTCATTGTCTTACATTTTGTTATATTAACACCAGTTTCAAAGAAAAGATTTTCAGTACTGCAGCCAAATCATTAATGTTAATGTTTTCTTTTTGACTGTTCCTGGGTATCTCTGAAAAAGAAAATGTCATGGGGTTTATGGTAGTAATTTTGTTCCCTGAAGTCATATACATTCACATTAGTGATTTGCTTTCATGTTTTTGGTTTTACCACTTGCAGTTCTAGCATATTCCGTTGCAGTTGTAGTAGTCTACTGATCTCTCCACATTATATTATTATAATATGCTGTGGTTGTTGCAGGAATTTGGGGTCATTTGGGACTGAAAGTTGTTATTTTTTGAAATGGCCTAAGGAGCTAATCTTACAGTCTGCAAATTTCAGATATTCCTGGCAACAATCTTCTGACAGGAGAGCTTTTAGTGTTTAGAATTTATATTTAATACTTAATATTTGCTAGGATCTTGTTAATTCTTAGCTTGTTCTTGCTTCTTCTACTGTGTAACAGTGGAAGCTGGTGAGGTGTCTCAGGAAGGGCCATGCACATGGCAAGAAGCTGGCTGGTGCTGAAAGTACTTGCCTAAAGTTGGGAGCACTTCTGTTTTTCCTGTTTTGGCCTTGTCAAATAGTCATGGCTTAAATGAAAAGCCCAGGACAATTGTCCAGCAGTTTATAAGTGTTTGAGAGCCAAAATACTACCCTGTTAAAAACTTACCTGGAGGAGTCTGAAAGGAGAGAAGGAAGGCTTACTTCACAGCTCTTCTCCTCTTGATGACAAGAAGTGCAGTAAACCAGAAGGAAATGCAGTTGATACAGGAATTTTGTACTACTTAACTTTCTGAAATATCAAGCATTAATAATACTGTGAATATATTTTGAAATACATTTCACCTCTGTTGTGATCTTTACTGTGAAAGCATATCTAATTTAAATAGATAATGCTGCCATTTAAACACTATATTTCTGTTTTTCCCTTTCTGCATGGGAAGAACTAGGACATATTTAGAGTTCCACAAAAGGAGTGTTTTTGAAATCTCTGAAGTGAGCGCCAGTTAATACATAGATACTTGCTGCCTTTTAGTTAGTTACAAAAATTGAATGTTAATCATTCCTTTGTGATTCTCATCCATCCCCACCTTTCTCCACAAAGTGGTTTTGTCTCTATCTCTGTCGTTTCACCACAAGCCAGTGCTGAAAAGGCAAGGACCGTGTGTGATGTAGTACTCACATACCGATTTCTGAGAATTTTGGGAAGCTTGGTCACACATCTGCAGCTGGGGTTTATAATCACTGCTTTATTGATGTGTACAGGGCTGTAACTATTTCCAGGTGCAGCCTGTCAGCATGTTCACCCATCCCTTTCCTAAATGACAAGAACATGGTTCACTTTTCTGTGTTGTTCTGCTTTCCTTTACAGATCCGGGAGCAAAACTTACAAGATATTAAAACTGCAGGCCCTCAGTCACAGGTTCTTTCTGGGGTAGTTGTGGACAGGAGTCTCGTACAGGTGAGAGCACAAATGCCTAAAAATATTAGCTTAAAGTTAATCTCTCATATCCTCTACTTTCACCTAATATGTCCCTATAAAATTCTTTGATTGGCAGAAAGTAACTGTTTGTAAGGTAAGTGTTAGAGGTAACACCATTGTTTTTGCAAGAGTGCTCAGGATGAGAAACTTAAGAGGCTTCAGTCATGTAGTCCAAGCATGTCTGTGCAGGATGCTCCTTGTTTATTTGGCTGAATGTAATGCATGAAATTCAAAAGGCTTTTTGATATGGGTTAGCTCCTTGTTCAAGCCTAGTCAGGCCTTGTGACAACTTGTGGGTGTCTTTGATTTGGTTGGTTTATTTTTCTTCCAAGTTTATGTATCCTGAAGTATTAAATGCTAGACACAGCAGTCTCATTTTGGGGCAGTAGTGTTGTGTGTTGAATATATTGTTATGTCTCACAATATTTGAGGAGCAATTAAAAGAACTACCGTACATTGATAAAACCTAATAGCAGTATATCTGGATATACAAAAGAGATTATCTATGAATCAGAGCTCCGAATAAGAGTTAGAGCTGCACAGTTATTCTGTTAAGCACCCCTGAATGACTTTTAAGCTCTATATATCTGAGTGCTTTAACTGCACCAGAGAATATTTTCTGATCTACTTTAAAGAATTTGACTGTTCTTACCATGACAATAGCTTTATTCATTTGGGTGTCATGTTGTGTGCATGTCAATTCACTGTCACTGCAATTTTGTCTACCAGTTGTTCTTGTTTCTTTGCATGTCTTTTAGCAAGCCTCATGATGCTCTTGGTTGATGTTTGAAAGGCCGGGCTCGGTTTGCTCTGTTTACTCGATTTACTGTTGCAGGATGCTCCCCTCTCAGACTGTACGGAAACTATTGAAGGGCTCGATCTCAAAGAGCAGGCCTTTAGTCCCGCTAAATCTCTGTCTGTTAGAAAGGTACTGCCCTGTCATACTGCTCTCAATACTGTTGTTCTCCCTTCATTTACCTCTTCCTTACCCTTCACCTCTTCCCTTTGTTAGCTAATGATTTGGCTATGAAAGAATATAATACATGGATCTCCAATTATATATATACAATTATGCTAGCAGCTAAGTTACCCTATGAAAGTATCCTTTAAGGGTTTTGATTTCATATTTTTACGTGTGTAAAGAAGCTGTGGAGGGAATATTTTTGATGTGAAAGTACTTGAGTAGGTTGTGCATGTAGTAGTTTTTTTGAGCATGTTATTAATTTTGCATTATTTGCATTTGAGATCCATTTGAAGCTAGCTTAATCTCAGCCTGATTACATCAGTGTAATTCCAGAGATATCCACATGTTCAGGATGTGTCATGCTGACAAACACTGCCAGCTTTTATCCTACGTTGCTGGATTCCTTCCAACCTTGGGTTTCCTTATGACCTTCTGCAGTTAGAGCTCAGCAAGAGATACCGACTAGTTCCCCACACCTCCAGCACACATTGGCGTTCAAATTGTTAACATAATCATATTTTAGCTTATGTATTACAGTTTAAATACAGAGTAAACCCAATAGTTATATAGCTGGAGGGGGAATTAAGTCCCTTGAGGCAAAGTAAATAGGAACACTTTCCATATTGGAAACAGTCTGTCCGGAGTTGTCTGTGATCCCAAGATTTTTTAGGAGGTGATGTAACATGCAAAAGCACAGGGTGTAGCTATGCATCAGGGTGTCTGTTCTGCTTCACTGTTCTTTTCTGACATCTTTTTAATCTTCCTCTAGGTCGGGCCTAAAATCTCGTTATCAAAATAGTTTTCCCATCAAAAAGCAAAATAATTTGACTTGTGTTATAGCTGCAAATTTTGTGGCTTTCTAAAACTTTCTGGGGTAATCAACCAATTTAGATTAGTCTTTACCATACTCCGAGTTTGCTAAAAGTATGATTTGTCGTATCCGTATCTGATGAGAAGAATCATAACATCATCTTTGCAGATTTAAGATCTTAAAAAGAAAAAAAGCAAATTCCCCAAAGCAGGCTGCCCTTCCTTCTAGTGGCTTCTCTGTAATAGCATCTAGGTATCCATTGGGTCTGACGCAGGCAAATTGTTTCACCAGTGATGTGCCAAGTATCTCTTAAGTATTCCTTTTGAACAATTGCATAAAATTACTTTCCATAAAATTATTCAAATAGCTTTTAGGGATTTTTAAGGACAACAAGGAACAAAAAAAAAAAAGTTAGTTGACTGCATGATTTTGCTAGTAATACAATGTTAATGTTCAGATGTCCAAATGATGCATTTCTTCTTTAATGCTGTGAAAGTGCTTTTTCTCCCGCAATACTGTGTAAAATTGTATCATTCAGAATGTCAGCTAGAGTAGGAGCAGCCAATTTCATCACCATCTTAATAAATATTGCGACCTGAACACTTGAAGAGATTGTTTGTTGCAAAAAATGCCAGGCAAGTTTTTCAGCAAGATTATGCAGAAAATTAATCCCATATTTCTTAGAGTTCCTGTTCTGTAATCTTATGACACCCACCTAAATCTCACAGTAAACAAAGCTTTAAGAAAGAAACCTAAATGTCAAGCTCTTATGTACATTTATATACCAGATAATTAGATTTTTTTCAGTTGAAAAAATATTAGGCACTCATTTACAATTTAATTAAATATTCCATCTTTAATTTCAATAAGACTTAAAAGTATATTATGCTTGACAATGAAATCAATATCAGCTACTAAACCACGCTACTCTAGGGTGAAAAAACTCCTACCTTTTGTAGAGCATGCGTGTAATGCTTGGAGTCTTGTCTGCCTACAGCTGCACCGGTAAATGCTGCGTTTTGCCTTGTCATGCTCTGCATCAGTGTCCCGAGGAGCCCTGGCCACGTTGCAATACCAGCTTCTTGCAGATCCCATGTTATTAACATTATAGACTCGGGTACCTGAGCTTTTGCTGGCTGAGCGGGAGAGAATTTTGGTTATTCTTTCTGCTGACTTTCTGCAATCTAATAAAATTCACATGAATTTTAAGGACTTGAGAATTTTAAGTACAAGGGAACAGCCTCTTTCTTGCCTCCTAAAATGAAAATTCTATGGCTTAATGAATAGCCTCGCTGCTGTGGCTCCAGAGGTGCCACTGGATTTGAATGGTGATTCCAAGTTCAGTAGGACTTTCAGGATCTTGGCTTTTGGAGGTAAAGGCACTACATAAATGTCAGAGGATATTAAGGATGATTCCTTAATGATGAGTCACTACTATGAATAAACCATTCGATTAGTGGGAAAATTGACATGTACAAGGTGCTATTTCTGTTCATCACTGACTTATTAAATGTTGGTCACCTTGTATTTCTCAGCTTTTTTTTTTTTTTTTGAAAGCAAGATATGGCAGAAGATTTGCTAACTGATCTGATAGTCTGGAGTTTTCATGTGGGAGGTGTGAGGTCCCAAAGTTAGTATGAATGTGTCTGGAAGGTCTTCCTGGAAGGTTAGCTGCCACAAACTTCTCAGCAGTGGAAAATACCCCTATAAATACACAATATTTTATGCGTAATTTCTTACAAGAGCGAAACCACTGTTGGTTTTCAAGCATTTATGCAGACAGTTGTGCCTCAAATAGCCACTTAAATTATAAAAAATCATCATCATCATCCAGCTGTTGTCCCTGGCACTGATGCTGTGCTGTTTGAAGGAACTGCCAGTCTGTTGTAGGGGAATTTATTCCCTCTCTACAGGCTCTCTATTACTGAAAGCTGCTCCAAACAATTTTCTTCTTTAATTTTTCCCTTCACGGTTCATAGGAATCCCCAAGCTGCCTGGCCAGTTTGACAGCTTTACAACATCTTTCAACTTCAGTATATTTCATTTTCAAGCTAAATGATATAAAATATGTCCTGTCCTTTGAGTCTGTTATATTCTCTCTCTTTCTGTCCCATATTACTGTTTGCTGTTGTGTAATTTTATTAACATTCTGTGAAGGCTGCTCCGTGGCTTGTTTTCTTAAGTAGCACATCTCTGTCTCTCTTTGATCTCATATAACTTGGAGAAATTGTAATTGTGTTGCAGAATTTATTAAATTAATTAAGACTTTTGTTTTCCCCTCAGAAATTGTTCCTCCACCATCATAATTTTTTCACTGATGCTCTTTGAGCTGCCTCCATGTTATTGGTACTGACCAAAGCTCAATGTGTTATTCTGGAAGCAGCTTTAGCATATTTGAAGTTTCCTTCTCTTGACTGTCACAGAATTCTGCTTTTTCAGTCCCAAAACCCAAGTGTGTTTATTTGTCACAGGTACTCTGCTGTTGCCTGAGATCTTTCTCAGCATTTTTTGAGCCAAAGATATTCAGCAGGTATAAATTCTGTTTAAAAATCAGCACATCAGTGATCTCACATAGATATTTTTCTCAGGATGATAAATCTTGATTTCATATTCAACTTTTTACCTTCTTTTGTGTTATTCTTCTGTCTTTGGCATTGAATTTCTTAAGTGACAATCTTGAAGTGCTGCTTTTTCTTCCCGGTACTGAGGTCTTCTCTTCAGGAGAAGCCTTGGGAATGCCAGGGTACTGCTGCCCTTGCTGCAAGCTGCCTGCAGCGTTGTCGGTTGCTGCCCCTGAGTAGACACTCAGTACAATTTGATTTCATGTGAAGGTTGTTGTACTCAATCATTGCAGGTTTATCTTGCAGAAAAGTTTCTAAGATGCCTAAGCATTTGAGGGGCACCAGCAGGCACTGCATGTTCTATAAAAATCAGTTTCTCTCCTAGTTTCTGTAAACCTGGAATACTTTGTCTATATGTTTGTCCATATACTTGATAAGACCGTGTTACTTATTGCCAACTTTTCAGTTAAAGGCTGCCTGTTTAGTTTGGAGAGAAGGTGGAAATGGAGAGACGTCTAGAATTGCAGTGGGTACCAGTTTCTGCCATCATTAAAAACTGGGGCCCGTAGTTTTGGACAGGGGATTGTTATGTTATTTTACAATAACAAATATAGTTGATATAAAGGCTCATGGGTTTTGGCATCTTTTAATGCATGATTCTGTAAGAAAAGCTGTAACTCTCAAATTTGAGAATTTCTGGGATTAAGGCGGCAAGTGCTTAGTGAAAATAGCTCAGAACAGGCTTTAGATGTTTCCTGACAGCCTGCATCTAGGATGAGAGTCTCTCTTGCTTTAGGGAGAAACAGAGGCAGTTTCTGATGTTTTCTAAATGTTTCTCATCAGGATCTTAGAGCAGAGAGCTGTGGAAAGGCTGCTTGTTCTTCAGTACTTCTGGCTGCCGTTAGCATCCTGGATAGAAGCAGATTCTAACAAGAAGCTGTTTCCATCTCCCTGGATTTCTCCAATACAGTGCAGAGGTCTCTTTCTGGAGGTCTCTTGCTCTCTTGTGGCACTTTAAAAAATATCTGCCCTTTGCCTCGTTCCACCTGGGCATTCTTGTCAGGCACCTCTTTGGTGCTCATGTTTTGGCTTGAGCAGCCCTTCACATCTGAAACAATATTTGGGCTGGTTTCATCTTCAACTCTATGGTGAGGGCCTCTTGTCCATCAAGCGTGGACATGGCATGGCCTGCTCGTCTGTCAGGAAGGTTCTCTTCATTACTGTGGTTTTTAACCATAAAATTATTAAACTCCTCACACTTTTATGCTTTCCTTTAAAATATTGGTACCAATGTAAAAATGATTTAGGCCAGTTAATATCCTGTATTACTTCAATAATGAAATCCAGTGACCCTCTTGTTGGCAACGAAGACAATTTAGGAATTGCAGTGAGGTCAGGTTGCCCAGGTCACGTTCATCGTTTTCCAACTTAGGTCACTAGAGTCCTGAGTATCACAAATTCTTAGACAAGTCATCTGAAGTAATCCATCGACTAATCCTTTGTGCCCAAAATGATGCAAAACCAGTGGCTTTAGTCTTCACTATGCACTTGGAGAAGAAAAAAACCAAAAACTTACCCTTAGAGCGGGAATCTCTGATGCTTTTGTCTCTTGGGACTACCTGTAATTGGAATTCCTAATACTTTATTTGTATAAATTTTTATCTGGTTTGTGTAACAGATGTTGCAGAAATAAACCAGCTAACTCACATTAAGATTATATTAACCTGAATTACTTCCAGATTACTTAAACAGTTGATCTGGTGCACACAGATTCTGCACAAGATGGCTTTTACTATAAGATCTGTTACATTTTATGTAAAAGCTGCCAGAAGTGGCTTTTCCCTTGTCCAGATTGAACCTGTGAGCACTGGCTGTCAGTCCTGCGGGTTCCTGCGGGAGTCCCGGGCACATCGGGGCCGAGCAGCCTCTTTCTCCTGTGGGGAGTCAAAGAAACCTGGTCCTTTGTGGCTCCCAGGGCTGAACTCTTGGCTGCTGTTTGATTTGCTGCTTAACGTGGATATTGCCCAGTGAAAACACTGATGTCTCTGTGAGAGTAATTGATGAGACCTGCTTTCTCCTTATTAACCTACCGTGAACTTTTTAAAATCCTGAAATAGAGAATTTTATTCTTTAAAAGCAAAAACAAAGTAAATATAGCATTTTTTTTTCAAAATAGCTTTTGTTTTGGTTGCTTTGTAACTAATGTAGTTTCCAGGGCTCCAAGTTGCTGCTGGATTGCAGATGTATCTTGATTATTTCTCGTCAGGGCGAGCTGGTGACTGCGTCGAAGGCCATAATTGAGAAGGAGTATCAGCCACGAGTCATAGTGAGCACGACAGGACCAAATCCCTTCAACAAACTCACGGACCGGGAGCTGGAGGAGTATCGCAAAGAGGTGGAGAGAAAGCAGAAGGGGCCGGAAGGTTAGTGGGCCCCTGCGTCCTGCTCTGCCGCTGGGTGCAGCGGCAGCGGCGCTGCTCCCCGCCTTGGGCTGTGGGCTACCTGCCAGGCTCGTGGAAAAGTGGGCAGTTTGTGTATTTTGCTTTTTTTTTCCAGGGTAAGCTGTGAACTTGCAAAGCATGCTGATCGCAGAAGGTGCAATTCTGGGGGGTTCTGTAAAACGCAGGAGTTTTCATTTGAAAATTTTTCCTAGTGGCTCAAAGCAGGTGTTTAGGATGGCCAGTTACTGCTGCTACTGAGCTGTGGAAATCTTGAAACTTTACTCATTGACGTTTTCAGGTCCTGTTAAGTACTGCAGGTTGCTGTTTCCCTTAGCCCTGGAGCTGGAGCCCTTGCTTTTTTGCAACAAAATTACCATTCTCTAACTTGCTGGAATTCGCAGAGCCAAAAATTCTTGTTTGGGAGATGCAGAGCCAAACTTGACTGCACCTTGGAGCTGCCCCATCCTGCAGGCTCCCCAGGAACACAGACTTCCCAAATGCTAATAACATTCTGTAGAGAGATCAGTGCTCCATCTGAAGTTGCACCATTTTACTTGTTTTGAAGCTTTATGGGATTCTCCTTAAGGTGTTTCCACAGATGTGTTATGGTTTGAATGTGAATGATGCAGGACCTCCCTTGCAGTGTGAGCTCCCTTCTGGATAACTCCTTGTGGATGGTGTATATTCAGTTACACAAGTTTGGGGCCGTGTGAGGGTCGGGGCTGCTGTGCTGTCGTGCTGTGTAACTGCCTGCCTTGGTTCTCTCAGTAACATTGCTACCTCCTTCTTAGATAAGGTTTCAAACTATGGAGAGACTGTGTTACTGAGACAGACACCTGCTGGGGAACAAAGTACTTGGCTTAGAAATCAGGACATCAGTGAGCAAAATCCTTCAAATAAAAAGTCTCTGGATTTGAAAGGCAGATCCAAAACCTTTCAAGAAGCAGATATGAAGACTGTGCAGGATTGTGAAGTCCCATCACTGTCCAAGGCTTTAGATAACACCCAGTTTGCTGCTGCACGGGTTTCTTGTGAGACCACGCAGCAGCACAGCACACACCTTAACCACGAAGAGCCAGATGTGCAGCAGTCACCGCATAAGGAATTTCACACTGCAGTGATCAAAGCATTAAGGTCTAACCCTGACCTCTTGGCTGAGGCCTCAGGTATTACGAGTATGGTGCAGTTGTGCTTGCAATCTGAGCAACAAAATCTTTATCTGCCCCATTGGAGATTCTGTCCGTTGACTCCGTTGTCTGTGGGGCTGATTTCACTACGTAATTGTGCAGGGAACTGTGTGGAGCGATGGTTTGGGTTGTTCCTCATGTGAGCTCTGCTCAGTTAATGTTTTCTTTCGCTGCTAGGGCTGATAGAATCTAGAAACAAGGGGGACTCTCCTTACTAATAATTTATGTGCACACTCCTGCAAAATCTGGTTTGAATCATTGAATTACTGCATGCTTTTCTGATTATCTGTGCAGTCTCTCATTCTTTTCTTTTGGTGCCATTTTGTTTTCTCTGAGATCCAGCGAACAGTTCAAAGCAAGCAAAAGAACAGTGTTCTGTGCAAGTCCAGTAGCATTTTTGACGCTGTATTTGTTTATATTTTGCTTATTTTTTCCGTGATACTTCTCGAATAGTCTGCTATCCTGGTTCACAAACAGTTGTGTTATTGGGCCATTCTGTGGCGGGGGCAGGAGACACGAAACCAAAGCCAAACTTTGACTTCAACAGTTTTGTTAAAGAAGCATCACTTATTTTTCTTTTGCTTGTTTTGGTGGTATTAAATATCCTAACAGAATTTTGATTAAGAAAAAAAAAAAAAAGAATTATCCATTTGGGGAGGGGGGTGAGAATGGCCCTTTGCTTCCCACGTGCTAAAATACTTTTCATTCCCGTTTTCCTTAACCGCGGCCGCCGCTGCTGCGCGCGCAGAAGCCTCGGAGGACGGCGGGGAGCAGAAGGAGAGGAGCCCCCCGGCGCCCGCCGCGGCTCGCACGCCGCCCAGCACCCCGACCAGGGCCCAGGAAGGTAAAGTCGGGGCAGCCCCTTTCCTGTGGGGCAGGGGGACCCCTAACCGCCCCATTAGCCACTGACGCATGACTATATACGAGCTAGTAACTAATAAAGGTAAATTCCTACTTGTGTTTTACTTCTGTAAACTCTAAGTACAATAGGGGGTATGTTTACAATAATAAAGAAGTGTGCATTAACATAATGACAAATTATCACCCCTTCCCAGTTGCCTTGTCCTGTCCTGGTCTTTCTCCAATGAAATCCCCATTTGTGCATTTTCTGCAGGAGAGAAGTGCTCTTAAGAAATACAATAATGTCTGATGATGAACCAGCCATAAATTACCAGCCAATTTCGTAACTCTCCTTTGCTGACTGCACATTTCTTAAGCGTTATTGTACTTGGATTACACCTCAGTAAATATTTTTCCCACTGGATTCGAATCTCAGTGTTATTAGTTACTAACATTAATTCTAACTAAAATGAAAGCAGAGCTGGCTGCATTCACCAACAAACAAACAAAAAGTACTTTGAACGGGTGTAATCTAATTTTTGTCTCGTTTCCTTTCCCTGTACATTGGGTGTATCACTTGTCTGTTGATGTCTTCTACTCACTACTTCATCTCATTCCATTTCCTATAAGAATGGTCGCGACCATTCTTCTAACGTAACCCGGTGGCTGTGATGAATGCATAGATTCTCTACTTGTGCTTTTTTCTCCTTGTGGCTGCGTTACAAACAGGAGATGGATATGCTAAAGAGTACCTGTTGCCATAGTAAGTATCATTCCATACTCTGACCTGCTTACGTGTTTTGCTTCGCTCCTGCCTTTCTGTTACTGGTTTTAATTTTTGCTTTTGTTTTGCGTTAAAAAGCAGGTTCTGCCCAGTTGAGACCCCGATTTCTTTAGCTGTTAATTTCCCCAACTTCTGGTCACACACATTCACATTAAAATGCACTCCTCTATTAAAGGGGACTGCGGACGTGACATTGTGTGTCTCCATGTTTGTGTCTCTGGCTCCCCATAGCCTGGAAGGGAATAGTCTGCAGTTGTCCTTCGGACGCAGCTAAAACGGCTTTGGGAGTTTCTGCCCCACGAGTTGGCTGCTGCCTGCACAGCCTAGGCCTGAAATGAAGCGCTGCAGAGTTCGCAGCCCAGTGCAGTGCAGAAGGGCTCCCGCTGGGGAGTCCAGCTCATCCAGCTGCCTTCTGCACGGACTGGGGATGCAGCTGTGTGTTGTGTACGTGTTGGCTGGAGGGGGACCCCAGCCTCAGCTGAGGACTCACGGTAACTAGGTGGGGGCAGGAACTTCCACAGCTGCTTCAGCGAGCTCTGCAGGGCTACCTCACATTATTCTCTTAACTGGACTTCCAAGTAATAACCTGTTTGGCTCCATCTGTGTCTGTGTCCTGTTCTAGCTGGAAGTCAGTGTTTTGTACTTGTCTTAGATGTCACGTGTCCTACACAACTGTGACATTATTAAGTTTCTAAATTGTGTTGAGCTGAGAATTCAGAGGGCTGTGTTCTGAGCTCCTCAAGATGTGTGAGTTTTCCAGGACAAACACGTGAAGTTTGTTTGTACACTAGAATACTGGGAGCTAATGCCCCGAAGGTTCCTGCAGACAGGAATTCTGCAGGGCAATGGTGTTCTCTGCAGAGTCCCCGCTCCAACTTGTGCTGTTTCAGAGCTGCTGGAATCAGACGTGTTTTGTGTTCACTCAGGGCATAGCTCGTGTGTGTGTGTCTACCTTGGTTCATGTTGGGTGAAAGAAGCACCTTTTGTTTTCATAAATTGTGACTAGCAGCATCAGTGAAGCTTTCAGAGCTCTCCTCTGCCACGGTGGGTGTTTGCAAAGGGGAGGCCTGGATGTAGACACACTTGCTGCCCCCAAACCTTCTGTGACTCGAGGTGGGGCTGAGTTCTGAAACTGCCTAGGTTTTGCAGCACAGCCTCTGTCCATAGAATCCTGAAGGTTGGAAGGGACCTCTAGAGATCCAACCCCCCTGCACACACAGGGTCACCTGTGGCATCCAGGTGGGTTTGGAAGCTCTCCAGAGAAGGAGACCGCACAGCCTCCCTGCTCAGCCTGTTCCACTGCATGGGGTTTCTCACTGCCCAGGTGTGCCGTCTGTCCCGGTGCCTCTGGATTGCGGCGCAGCCCTCGGCGGGTTCAGCTGCTCCTCCCCGTTTGGCAGCAGCAGCAGCAGCAAACCTGCTGAGGGGGCTCTGCCCATCCTGAGGCCTTCCTGGCCAGGCCCCTGGAAGCCAGGGAGCAGAACGGGAAGCCCTCGTGCACGCTGTGCCGTTTATCCAAGGTGGGGTCTGTGGAGCTGCCCCATTCTGGTGGAGTGTCCCCTGCAGTGAGCTAAAGCAGCCGTTTGTCTTGGTCCGGGTTAATGATAACGTGGTTAGGGGAAGTCGATGCTTTTTTGCTAAAATGGGGCGGATAGCAGCTCTGGATAAATCAGATGATTGCGAATACCTCATGTAGTGCCCAGGCCAGCTGGCAAGTGCTTTCTGAATTTCAGTAGCTTCCTGTTCTGTAAGAATGTTCAACTCCCCCTCTCCCTTTGACACAAAATTTAAAAGAAGGGAGGAAAAAAACCCCAAAAGATCAACACACAGAGTGGCTGTGCAGGAGCATCCCCCCGAGGGCCCAATCCCCCCACGGGCTCTGCTCGTTTAACCCGCTGGAAGCTCGCGGTGCTCCCAGCAAAATGTGCTGCCTTCCTAGCACATATTAGTCCTGCAAGACACATTACAGGAGTATTAATCCCACCCAGCAGAAGTTAAAAGGATGCTAAGTGTCTTTTCCATAGGAAAAAAACAGGGGAATGTATCAAGCATTTTCTTTAAGTTCTTTTGAACATCCAGTGTCGTTGAAGTTGACATAAATGCCGCCCAGTCGCCTCTAAAAAGTTTTTCATCTTTCAAAAGAAAAAGATGCTGCCTCTGTGCTGTGCCTCGCAAGGGAGCCTGGCCTCGATTTTGCTCTAGATTCCTGCTTACGTAACAGCAGAGAAATGTATCTGACGGGGTATTTGCAACATGAGCACAGTGATGAAAAGCAAGATTTTCTCTCAAAAGTGCTCAATAAATACACAGCACAGATAGGAGAGCTTTAAAAAGAGTGTCTGCGAAGCCTAGCCGGGCCAGTGGGGAGATTTAGACCTCGGGCCGTGGAGCCAGTGCGAGGGTGCTCTGCCCTAGTGACCCTGCTGCTCCCGGTAAGTGCTGGGGCAAGACACTGCAAAACCACCTTCCTGCCTAACTTGCTGAGCTCACTTAATTTGTTAAACTACATGGATGTTACTTATAAGATTCTCTGCTGTATTCCCCTGTACTGCGCAAAACGAGTGAAGCCTTTGTGATAGGAAATCATGTTGTGGAGCTGCATCTGTTAGAGCTCGGGGAAGACCATAATGAATCCATATATTGCCATTGGAACTGTCAGGCCAACAACCTCGATATTAACCATCTCAGAAGACCAAAAAACAGCAATTGGTTTTACCAATTTACAAAAAAGTGAGGAAATTCAGCATTCTCTCCAGTGGTTACCAAAACTAAGCTTAATTCATTTATACATTTATACTGCACTAAAATCTCATGTTATCTGCAAATGTTACAGCTGAAACATGAGCGAGGTGTCAGTAGTCACTCTGTTTCTGATTTACACCCACGGGGGCGAATGCAGCTTTATCTGATATGCAGGGAAAAGGCTAAAAACCAACAGAACGTGGAAGATGCTGTTGATATCTCTGTGCCCAAGGCAGGAGGGGAACGGACCCATTGCAGAGGCTTCTGCCGAGGACAGAAAGAGGTGGCCGCAGCGGGCACCCTCGCCCTGGCCCCGCAGCAGGTGCCCCCCGCGCGGCCGCCGCCGCGGCACCCACTAACCCTGTCGCTGTCTGTCCGCCCGGCAGGGCCGCAGCAGGAGCAGCCGTGCGGAGACGACAGTGACGCTGCAACGTTCAAGCAAACCCTCCCGGACCTGAGCCCCGACGAGCCTTCCGAAGCCCTCGGCTTCCCTCCCGCCACGGGGGAGGAAGGGAGGCGCGAGGAAGACCTGCCCGGGAGCCACCCCCCGTCCCCGGCCGCGCACAAGGAGGAGCCCCAGGCTCGAGGCACCCAGGAGCCGCTCACGCCAACGGCTGAGGAAGGGGCGGCCGCCGACGCGGGTAGCGATGAGTCCCCGGGGAAGTCCCCCTCCAAAAAGAAAAAGAAGTTTCGCACTCCTTCCTTCCTGAAGAAAAACAAAAAGAAGAGTGACTCCTAAAGGCTAAACACACTGCAGACACACTGTCATCTTTTAAAAGTCATTAACCACTAGAATGTACCAGATTGTACTGTTTTGTCTTATTATGTAAATGAATGCAGCAAGTAACCCAAGCAGCCCCCTCGAGTTATGGCTTGATTGTTTCAGATTATAACCAGAAATTGATGTGCAGAAAGGTGCTAATCCTGTGTGCTCAGCAGCCGCCACTGATCTGATCCCCACTTTGTAAACAATGTAAATGACCCCCGTTAGAAGGCATCAGATCACTGTTTTTAATTTGAAGCCCGTGCTGCTTTAAGTAAGGATACAACTAGTTGTCACAATTAAAGCTGCCCCCAGCTGGCTTGCCACAAGGAGTGCTCTGCTTTGCTGTGCTGCCGGGCTCGGCTTTTTGCAAATCCCAACTTGTGGATCAGGCGCTGGGATCCCGTGGCGCTTCCCGGAGCTCGGCGGC